TCCCCCCCCCCCCCTTTTTTGTCCCTAAGGATTTTTTTTTTTTGGGGGGGGGGGGTTTATTTGTATTTGAATGTGCCTAAAGAGTTTTTGCATCTCTTAATCTATGTATTCATACTTGAACAAATCATTCTTATTTAACTGCTGGCCTTTTGTAAAACTATCACTAGTCATGATGGATTTCTATAACCTTGAAATTGACTTAATACAGCACATGGAGCACTTTAAAAACAAAGAAACTTGAAAATAATTTTATCTTTTACTATCACGTGGTATATTCTATACTACTACATTATAACTATGTAAACCTAACTGAGCTCTTACAAGTGCAGATTTATGAGATTAGAGGTTTTCCAATTAAAAATATACACACAGGGGAAAATGCCAATCTGAGCTATATAAATTTCACAGTTCGTATCTCAGCTAGCAAAGAGATACCTTCACGTGGGATGAATATTATAAATACTTGAATTTGGGGCTAACTTCATACCATATATGAATTAATCATCACACTGTAGTAAGTTTGACATCTTTGAATAGTTGGGCTTATGAAAAATTAGACATCTTATTTAATTTTTACTTTACGTAAGTGTGGAATAAGTTCTGGTCATATAAATCTCACTGCAGAATGCAGGTGTGTTAACTCTGCTGTAAGGGGTAGTGTCCTCTGTTTCACAGGACTTATGAGCTGTACAACAATTTATATAATAATAATGCAGAATGAACTCAGGTTATTTTGAAATTAAGATTAATCTTTTAAGTTTAACTTAAAAGCTAGCTTCCCTGGCTTTTTATATTTTGGATAGCAGGGGGGAATACCTACAAACCTTAACCTCCAAAGACTCTCACAAATGCCAAAGATTTTTGAGGAAATTCGTATTATATATTTCAAAAATAATTTATTAGTGTTATCTATCAAAAGAAATAAAGAAAATTTATTTTTCCCCTTTGGGAAGATATCACCCTTTATCTTCTAACCTGAGAATCAGAGCCCTAGATTCTGTTTCTACCAGTGCTATTAATATTAAACTCAACCTTGAAACTGAACTTGGTTCAGTTTCTGTGCCTTAGTTTCTCCACTTGTAAACAATTTTCTGTAAAAATTGTTTAAACACCAACCAAAACTCACCATGTGTATTCATTCTCTTGCCTTATAGAAATGATCCCTTATTTAAATTTGGTTTTCACCTCTAAAAGCTTATAGCTCAGAAAGTAACTGAAAACAGTTTTTAGAAACAAACATGTTTTCCTCACAAAATATGTTGCAATCTGATTTTCATATCTTGTATTCATGGGGAAAATAGGAGAAAATTTGTATTGTCTTGTACCATTTTGCAACATGACTTTCTCAGGAAAAAGATCACTTTCAATGGCAATACTTCCTCAAATAATTCAAGATGAGTATGAAGACCCTTATTATTAGTTTAGTGCTGTGTTGATCATATGTGAATTACTTCTTGTTTAAAGGGGCTTATCAAAAATTTTTCAGATTCTAAATGGAAAATATGAAATAAGTCTACTTACAACAGCAATCTACTATACTTAGAATAGAAACCTCACAAAGTTTTCAGTAGTAATGGGCAAATAAGGTTGTTATTTGGGATTGATAATTAACGTAGGTGTTTTATTCTCTCTTACCTCCTTAGTACTGAAGCCAAATACCATTTACTTCATAGAAATCTTATCTCTACAGTTCTATTTCCATGCACTATTATAAATCTCAGATGACCACTTGAATCAGATAAACATACTGAAGGTAAAGACGTTTCTTCTCCTAGCTTTCTATCTTCAATATTTTAGTCCTGCAGACAGTAGGGTAGCCCCTTAGGGCAAATTCGGAGGCCCCAGCCATTTCCTTTAAAGTAAATTCTTTCCCCCTTTAGAAGATCGTTTTACAATTTTAAAGTTTATTAATTGTAAGAACAGGTAGGATTTGCAGGTTGCTTTACCAGCATGAATCTTGTTTTTCTGGCTTAAAATCTGAGACTGTGAAGTTATTCCATAGGAAAATAGACGTTATTTTGCAGAGATAGCCTTTTACATATAAAGTGGTGAAGTGTCTTTAAAATTGATATAACAAGGGCCGGCCCGGTGGCGCACTGGATAGTGCGCCGCTTGGGAAGCGCGGCGGCGCTCCCGCCCGAGGGTTCGGATCCCACATACAGACCGGTTCCCGCTCACTGGCTGAGCGAGGCACGGGAGCAACACCGAGGGTTGCGATTCCGTTGCCAGTCCCCGGTCCGGTACGGGGGCAACACTGAGGGTTGCGATCCGTTGTTGCCGGACATGGAAAAAGACAAAACACACACAAAAAAAAATTGATATAACAAAACTGTTTGGTTGCTATAATGCTTATTTTTCTGTATTTGTTTACACATTAAATTCTTACAAAACAGAATTGTGTCCTTTTGTTCTATATTAAGATGTTTTATTTTGAACTCCAATATATTTACTTGGTAGAGAAAGCTTCGTTAATACAGATTTTACTTAGTAAAGTAACTATATATTTATTGAGCAGAGATGCCTGTATCAGATATTCTTGCACAAAACACCACCACCAACAATAAAAGAAAACTCTAAATATGTGATTAGGAGAAAAGGTGTGATAATGAGATTTTGCAGACAGTATACTCATATTAGTGTGAACATTGGTATCTTGGACTGACTTAAACTGGATACCAGAGAATGCTAAAAAAAACTCAGAGGATTCTTGTTAACTTTTCCCTCCTTCACCACCTTCCAAACGTAGGGTCAAATGGCTTTGCTTTAATATGGTTAAAGTCTCTAGGATTAGTAAAAAGTTCCTTTTTATAAAAAAAAGAACTATAAATACAATTTTAACACCTAGATACTTTAAAAAATGGAACAAATAAGGATTACACTACAGATTCTTCCATTAAATAAACAAAAGCTCCAAAGAACTTTTATTCATTCTGATACTCATAATTTTTAAAAATTGATATTTTTGAAAATTTTTGCTCTATAATAATTTACATATAAATAGAGCATATTATGGCTAATCCACAACTTCATAGCAAGTCTTTTTTTTAACAGTAAAATGCACAAATCATAAGTATACAAGGGTACTTCAAAAAGTTCCTGGAAAAATAGATTTACAAGATAATATGAATCCATCGTGAACTTTTTGAATTACCTGCATTTTTTTTTTTTTTTTGTCCTGTTTGAGACCGGCCGCACCGTGCTCAGCCAGTGAGCGCTGTGAGTGCACTGGTCATCCCTATATAGGATCTGAACCCGCGGACTCTCCCGAGTGCGCCACGGGCTCGGCCCTTACCTGCATTATTTTAAAAAATTATTTTCATTTATACATATTTATGAGGGCCGGCCCGGTGGCGCACTGCTACAGTGCGCCACTTGGGAAGCGCGGCGGC